GATCACACTTCCTCCAACAAGGTCACACACATTTCCTAATAGTGCCATACCCTATGGGCCTATAGGGGCCATTTTTATTCAGACCTCCACAGGTCCTTTCCACATTTTAATTATTGTTATGAGAATGAGTATACAAGTATCTCTTAAGAGGAGACTGTTTTCCTGTCTTTTAGGCATATTCCCAGAAGTGAAATTGTTAGTGTGCATGGTAATTCTTACTTTTAATTTTTCTTTCATTCTTTTTTTGAGATGTGGTTTCTCTGTGGTCCTGACTGTCCTGGAACTTGTTCTGTAGACTAGACTGGCCTTGAACTGACAAGAGATCCACCTGCTTCTGCCTTCTGAGTGCTGGGATTAAAGGTGTGCACTACCACCTCCAGGCTCTCTAGTTTTTTTGAAGAACTGCCATTCTGTTTTCCCCAGTAGATACCTGCTGCTAGATAGTGTGTCTATGTGCATGTGTTTAATACAGTTAGCTATTGTGTTGAGTTTCTCTATTTTCTGCTCTCTGGCTACTATAAATATTATAACTGTCCTTTTCCTGCTTGCCTGGATCCTGAAAAGGACAAATGAAGCATAAAAGCTCACTAGCCCTTTATATCCAATGGAAACCCCTTCAGCTGGGATAAGTAGAAGTCTAAAGACATTCTGTCTGTTTTGTTTTGTTTTGTTGAGACAGGATTTCTCTTGTGTAGCAGTCCTGGCTGTCCTGGAACTAGTTCTGTAAACCAGGCTGACTTTGAGCTTACAGATCCACCTGCCTCTGCTTCAAGGGCGCTGTGATTAAAAGCATGCACCATCACTGCCCACAAAGTTCCTGTCTTTTATCTGCACCTCTGTGATCAGAGCAGTATCATCCATCAGAGCAGACAGATGCCAAAAATAGGGAGTACAGAGTCCCTTTTTCTCCACTCAGACTTCCCCAGAGAGCTGCAGTTGTACCAAGAGCTGAACTTGACTGAAATGAACCATAATTTGCTGACTGAGCCTTACAGTAGATGTTGGAAGCCTTACATAGATGCCAGATTTTCACAAGAACTCTATCAGACAGAGTTTACCAGTGGAATTGTCCTCGTGGGAAGATGAAATTTTTCGGTCATCATCTGAAAATCATCACACTGAAGAATTTCATTTTTCCCCTCCTTGTCGTGTTTTTATTAATTTCTTGGGAATTTCATATAATACACTCTGATCATACATGCTTCCCATTCCTTCCAGTTCCCTCTCACCCTTGTGTCCCCACCACTACCACCAAAAGTCCAATTTATGTTGGCCATGTACTCACTGGAGCCTGGTCAAACTCCCAGTGGCCATCCCTTTAAAGAGAATTGTGTCCTCCCTGTAGGCATTTTAGCTCAGATGGAAAGGGATTTGGCAGTTGGTAGCCAAGGAATACCTTGTCACAGTAAGCATAGCAGTTTACTGCCCTGGTCCAGGAAAAGGTTTCTCTAATGTAACAGCTCTGTTCTGGCAGGAGGTGGTTTCCCAAGGAAGGTATTACAGTTCTGCTCAGATCCCCTGGAGCGTAACAACTTTGTTATTACTAGGGAAAGTGTTACAGCCCTGCTCTTCTGAGGCTCCAGTAAAGTTATTTCTCTCCTCCACTTCATTTGGGCAAAAGAAGGTCTCACGGTTCTTTCATTCCAGAGATTTATTGGGAGGGAAGAATCCAGAAGAGTGGCCACCTCTGTCAGGGCAGAAAATGGCAGCGATAGCAAACTGAACAGGTACAGGGCTTATATAGGGCTTCTTATGGGCAAAGTTAGTCCAGGGAGAAGATATTCAGGGTGAGGATTGGTCAAATTTCAGTCTCTTGAGCTCAGATTGGCTAGATCTCGTGATCAGGGATTGGTTGGTTTTCTGCTCAGGGAGTGGTTGGTTTTCTGCTTAGTTGGGCAGGTACAGATTTGGTTCTGGTTTCAGAGCCAAAGTATATTCCTTCTACTAACACTTTTTAACTTTTTGGCTCTAATTTCAGGGCTAGAACATATTTCTTTCACTGGCTCTGATTTTAGGGCCAGGGTGGGTTTCTTTGACTGGCCCTTTTACCCTACACTTCTCCCACCCTCACCCTCCACCAGAAGCCATCAAATGTGAATAGCTACACTTTAGCATCTTCATCACAATTTTTAATGACTCTTCTATAGTTTCATGTCTGCACTGTTTCTTTTAAGGAGTGGGGGAGAGGTTGGTACAGAAGCCTTCAACGGCTCTCTTTCTCAGATAAGAGTCTGCATTGATACCACTGCAAAAGAAGCTTCTCTGCTTATAGCTGCTGGGGGCAGCTTGGATCATGGACATCAACATAGTTTCTAGTTGCAGCCCAGACATCCATGTTGTTTCCAGTAACAGCTCAGATCACAGCCATCAACATTGTTTCTGAGGATCACAAACATCAACAGCATGGTTTCTGACGTTGCTAGTAGGGATCATGGATGTCTTTTGAGGACATTTAACCCAGAAAATGAATCATACTTCATTTTGGATATTTTGTTGCTGCTCAGAGTCAGAAAGATATTGGGATTGAGAATGTCTGAGAGCAGGACCTGTGAATGCTCCAAGCTGCTGTGTACCCTGACCTCAGTACCAGCTACCCGGCCATTACCACAGGCAACTTCATCATGTTTGCAGCCTGTGGGCAATACTGCCCCCTGCTGCCAGTGCCTTCCTAGCAAGTGGGACCAGCTCTACTCAGCAATGATATGATCTCAGCATGCTCCCAAGCCTGTCACCACTACTGTTGCCCTAGTTCTGCTTCTCTGCGCCACACATGCCTCTCAGGTATCCCAGGCAGGACCATCAAGTGTGCAGCCTGGGAGCAGCAACATGTCCCTCTTGAAATATTTCTTAGAAATTTATCCACTCACTTTTGTGCTATATTTTTTATATTTTTTTATTTGATTCTGTGGGGATTGTAATATACACAATCTGCTTTTTTTTTAATTTTTTTTTTGGTTTTTCAAGACAGGGTTTCTCTGTGGCTTTGGAGCCTGTCCTGGAACTAGCTCTTGTAGACCAGGCTGGTCTCGAACTCACAGAGATCCGCCTGCCTCTGCCTCCCGAGTGCTGGGATTAAAGGCATGCGCCACCACCGCCCGGCTAAATAATTTTCTTGTAGTAGATTGTTTTGGCTTCTTTTTTTTTTTTTTTTGGTGCCGTGACTCGGATTCGAACCGTGTTTTGGCCTTTTTAAATTATTGGTTTCAAAGTCTTCATCTGTATTTTTTTTTTCAAGACAGGGTTTCTCCGTGGTTTTGGAGCCTGTCCTGAAACTAGTTCTTGTAGACCAGGCTGGTCTCGAACTCAGAGATCCACCTGCCTCTGCCTCCCGAGTGCTGGGATTAAAGGTGTGTGCCACCACCGCCCGGCTTTCATCTGTATTTTTGAAAATTTCTTTTGGATATAGAATTCTTAGTTGACAGTTTGAGCTTTTAGGGTGTTCCCCCCCCAAATACTTTAAAGATACCCAAATATATTAACTATTTGACATGAAGTCTGTTGTATTTCCTCTCATTGTTCTCTATTAATGAAACTGGTTTATAAGTTGGTTGTGATAGTAGTACTCAACTCTGTTTATTTGACATTAATTATAAAATTGTTTATCAAAGAAGTTTGTTATATCTGAATTTAAAATACAAGTACTGTAAGGATACTATGCACCGGTATAGGCTACGAATACAATAATGAATAAACTAGTTTCTGGTTTTACAAAGCCTAGTGCCAACATCCTAGCTGTGATAGACAAGAGAAAGAGATACCTTGAGGTAGCACATGAGATGCAATTATCACTGATTTACTAGCAGGAAGTCTAAGAGGGAAAATAAACTTACTAACACAGAGGCCATAAATAGCACTACTCAGGGTTGAAAGTCCATTGGTGGCCAGGTGGACTGGCAACATTTATCTTCTCTACACAGTGTTGCTTCACCAAAGCCAAATGGTACTCATCTTCTCTATATTATTCCTAGAGTCCTTTGGTGATGGGCTGGAAGAAAATTGTCAGTTGTCAGAGGTCCGGTGCTTGCTGGCCTAGACAAGTGGCACCTCAGTCTGTCGTGTCACCTCATTTAATGGTGCTGATCCTGTTCACAGTATTCTTTGAGGATCGATTGCAGCCTGCTGGACCAAGAGTACTTGTGCTTTTCACAGTGCTCCTTTTCTGTACCATTTATCACAAAACCAAATTTTATTGGTTAGATGCCATAAATATTGGCATTATTAGCTGGCTTTTGCTCTTTGTATGATTAGCATTCCAGTAACAGCTGACTTAGTGTATATGCAGAAAAGTAGTTTTTCTTTACAGATAATTCTAACTTGCCTAGTTCCCAGTGTATTTTGGAGAGGCTAACTTTAATTCTGGCCAGTGCAGTGGACCTTCTCTGTTCCCTTAGCAGAGAAGTGTGTTTCAGGGATAAGGTAGTTGATGCTGATGTTCCACTGTTTTTAGGGATCATGAATAAAGCTTACAAAGAAGTAAATGACTAAAATCATAAACATATGATAATTGATAATGGGAATACTACCAAGAGCTATTCCAAGAGCTATGGGAATATAAATGCCTACAGTATTCCACACATGGAGTCTTGCTAGCCCAGAGCTCCCACCCTCTAATGTGTGATTGGCCTTTCTTCTATTCAGCCCCAGCCTTCTGTGCCTAGGGTTCTCACTCAGGAACTTGTATGGGATGGAAACTTTGTTCCAGAAAGCACATTATTTTGCATTCATCAAATAAGATTTCCTGGAGAATGTGGCCTTTGAGTGGTTGGAAAGTTGTATAGATTCAAACAGTTGAGGACGTTCCTGGCTAATATAGTAGTTGGTGGCAATTAGCATTAGCTGTCACAGAACACACACTTACACAAGTGTAGGGATCAACGTATAGAAGGGCATCAAGGGTATTTTTAGTGTTAGTGTAACACGTTAATAAAAAATAAGAAATAAGTGTTAAGTGAGCCTATCATTTCATTCTAGTTATTAATCATAGCATCTTTCTCTTACAGAGCAGAAGAAAAAAGAGATTTGTTCATGTTTTTCCGAAGTCTACATTTTTTTGTGGAGTGGTATGAATATCGTAAGAACACATTTAAGCATTTTAAGGTAAAGTCTGAAGATTTTAAATTTAAATATATGTAGAAAATGAAGCTGGTGTTAATTTTGTTGATACACTCATAGTTTGCTTTCTTTTTTTGTTCTTTTTTGAGACAGGGTCTGACTATGTAGACAATAATATCCAGGGTCTGGATATTATGGAACTATGTAGACCAGACTGGCTTCAAACTCACAGACATCTGCCTGGCTCTGCCTCTCTAGTGCCGGGATTAATAGTATGCACTACATACGTGCTTTAAATTTCAAAGAATGGAGAATATTGTCACTGGTTTAATAAATTAGCAGTTATTTGTAATAAATGAGTGAGAAGTTTCTATATAAATCAATGGATAATTGATATTATGAACTTTTATTATTTTGACTATTCACTATGGTTAATTTATTGAGAATTTTATTTTTGAAAATTCAGCCTTTCAGGAGTACATAAAAAACAAAAAGAAATGCTAGTAAAGAATATATAGTGCCTGCTGTGGTGGTGCATGCATTTGAGCCCCACACTCATAAGGCAGGAGCAGGGAGGTCAGGATGAGTTTGAGGCCAGCTTGGTCTACATAGTGAGTTCCAGGCCAGCAAGTCTATGTACACTCTGCCTCAAACAACCTATTATATATTGTCACAAAGCAATATAATTGTAATTTCTATATCAGACTACTTTAAGCTGCTGTATTATTGCACATCTTGAGTATAAATATTGACGCTTGATTTTTATGAAGTAATTGTTTGCTTGTTCTGAAGGCGTAAGTCACAAACAATGCCACACCAGTTTGGAATTATGATTAATAGGGTGGTATTTATTTAAAGGGGAAAAAACTTACAGATCACCGTCCCAGACAACAGCCCTCTGCGCAACCAGGAAGGGAGTCTAGTCGCTGGCCATAAGTGAAGAGAGAGAGGAGAGGGAAGTGGCTGCTTTTTTAAAGGGAGAGAGACCACGCCCCAATGGGCTGGTATCTCAGCGGCTATAGGCTGGAGGAGTGGAAGGATCTCCCGCAACATTGTTCATTTTGATTTTACACAGCTCTTTATTTCTTGTTTAATTTTTTTTAAAAAAAAACAATCTTTTCTATTTTACATACCAAGCCAGTTCCCCCTCCCTCCTCTCCTCTCACTGCCCCCACCTTTTCCCCACCCCAACCCCCATCCACTCCTCAGAGAGGGTAAGGCCTCCCATGGGGAGTCAACAGAGTCTGTCACATCATGATGAGGCAGAGCCAAAGCCCTCCCCAGTGTATCAAGGCTGAACAAGGTATCCGGCTCCAACTTGCATAAGGCCAAATTCGGCCCTCTGAATGTGGGTGATAGTTATGTGGCTTGGGCAGTTTGTGGGGCCACTGGCAGTGGGATCAAAATTTATCTCTAGTACATAAGTAATGGTTTTAAGTCTGACGGAAATACTTAAAGACTGCTTTTCAAAAAATTGTTTAGGGACATAATCAAAAGTTGGTTGTGTTATAATCCCTCAGGTCCTACTTATTTCCATAGCATTGTTATTAACAGCTGTCAGCCACACAAAAACCTGAATGAATCAGTGTAAATAATATTTCAAGGTTCTAGTCCTTCAAAAGCCTAACCTATGGCTGTTATTTTAAAGATTAGTACTAATTTGCCTGTATTTGGGTTCAGTTCTTTTCTTATTATTAAATGCATTCTCTTTGGTTGACTTAATAAAATTTGTCAGGTGTAAGGCTTTCTCCAGAATGAAACATGGGCAGTTTCCATACTGCAGTCCTTCAAGTAATTCTCATGATTTTGTTATATTTTCTTGTATGTGTACATGTATTTATTTCTGGGCTCTAATTTCTTATATCATGCACACATACTCTTTGAGTTATTGTGTTTTTATAATAAGTCTTTAAGTTAGTAGATGAGTCTACTCTCTTGCTTCTTTTTCAAGATTTTTTTGTTTGTTTATATGGGGTTTTAAATAATCCATATAAATTTTAGAGTAGATTATTTTTATGCTTCTGTAAAAAAAAATCATTGATACTTTCATAGGGATTTCATTGAATCTCGAGATTGTTTTATTGTCTTAATAATATAACATTTCCAGATCCACGAACATAGGTGTCTATTCTTTTATGTATGTTTTCTTAGTGTTCTATTGCTGTGAAGAGACACCACGACCAGTTTATAGAAGGAAACATTCAATTGGGGACTTGCTTACATTTCAGAGGGCAAGTAGTCCATTATCATGGTAGAGAGAATGGTAACAGGCCCATTATCCAGCATCATGGTGCTGGAGTAGTTGTGAGCTCACATCTGGTGCAGGCCTTGAGAGAGACAGTTAGCCTGGCATGGGCTTTTGAAACCTCAAAGGTCACCCCCGGTGACAACACTCCTCCAGCAAGACCATACCTCCTAATTCTTCTTAAAACAGTTTCAGCCGGGCAATGGTGGCGCACGCCTTTAATCTCATCACTCGGGAGGCAGAGGCAGGCGGATCTCTGTATGTTCGAGACTAGCCTGGTCTACAGAGCTAGTTCCAGGACAGGCTCCAAATCCACAGAGAAACCCTGTCTCGAAAAAACAAAAAAAAAAAAAGAAAAAAAACAGTTTCACTAAGCATTCTAATATATGTCAATGGGAATTATTATTATTTAAACCACCACCTATGTCTTTTGCTTTTATGTATTTTTATATATTTGTAAGGTGTAAATAATTTTTAAAATATCTCATTTTCATCTTATGTGAATGTGTTTGTTGGTTTTTTGGGTTTTTTTTGTTTGTTTGTTTTTGGTTTTTCAAGACAGGATTTCTCTGTAGCTTTGGAGCCTGTCCTGGAACTAGCTCTTGTAGACCAGGCTGGCCTCGAACTCACAGAGATCCGCCTGCCTCTGCCTCCCCATTGCTGGGATTAAAGGTGTGTGCCACCACCGCCCAGTGTGTATGTGAATTTTTGGCTGCACATTTGTATGTATGCCACATGCGTGCATTGCCAGTTGAGTCCAGAAGGAGGTGGGTATTGGTGTCCCTGACACTGGGGTTGTCAGTGCTGGAACCAAATTTGAGTCCTATGCAAGAGCAGTAGGTTCTCTTAACCTCTGAACCACATCACCAGTTTGTAGGTGGGTTTTCCTGTCTCACAGCTGCTCTCAAACACACTGAAGTTTATATTAATTATAAATACTTGGCCGAGAGCTCAGGCTTATGACTAACTAGCTCTTACAACTTAAATTAATACATTTCTATTAATCTATTTATTTCCACATGAGTTGTGGCTTTGCCTGTCCTCCAGTATGTCTTGCTCCCCCTATGTCTCTTAGTAACTCCTGACTCTGCCCTTTCTTCCCATCATTCTCCTAGTTTGGTTGTGCTGCCCATTCCTGCTTGGCTACTGGCCAATCAGCTTTTTATTAAACCAATTCAAGTGACAAATCTTCACAGTGTACAAAAAAGTTATTCCACAGCACTAATCCTGTTATGATTTTTTTTAATTTTAAGACTATTTCTTTAGTTATAATTGTCAAGAATGAAATATCTGTATTATAGAGTAGAATCAAGAATAATTTTACTTGTGTTGTTTTCCTCGGTCCATTCTGGATTTTATTTTATTTTTCCGTACAAAGGTGTGTAACAAAGATATAAGCTACCTATATTCAAGTAGTCTCACTCAAAATCCAAGTTATTTAAGTAAATTCCATAATTTATAATTTTTAGCAATATTCTTTCTCCCGAAAATTTCATCCAAACCATTAGTTTTAACTTTGAAAAAAATTATAATTATCTAATGGTATTTTCTCATTAAATTCTATTACAAAAATAATATAGAAGGCTGGGAATAGAGTTCAATAGTGTTGTCCAAAATGTATAAGGCACTGTGTTCAGACCCCAGAACAATACACACCCCTAAAATACCAAACTGTGTTTGTATGCATGTGTATATGAGTATATTTTTCTTCTGAAAGTCATTAAATTAAAGGACGTTCCTGTATATCGCCCATTGTCTCAGCCTTGTCACTCTATTTCCATTGATTTATTCTAGATTATACTAGTTTGTTTTTTCCCATATAAGCAGTACCCTTCTATTTCGATAGATTTTACAATGTTTATTGCATATTTAATTCAAATGTACTACTAGGTACCATACAAGTGTAAAAGGTAGAACTGTATTTCAGTAATCCTAGTGAGTGTTTAGTCACAGAGAAACTGAGGCATGCACAGAAAATGACACAGTGGGATAAATTTACTATAACTAACATCAAAATGAATGAACTAGTAAACATTATTAGAGTAATCAGTATTGCCTTATAGGTCACAAGTGCTTTAATGAAAAGTTTTGTCTGGGGTCAGCCGTAACATGAGAGAGGAAGGGGTCAGTCTGCATTGGGGCAAAACACCAAATGCTTGAGTATTCTAGGAAAAGCATGCAGATTCTAACATGTACCCAATAATGGAAATAATAGTGGTACCTTTTATTTTATTAGTATTTTTTTTTTTTTTTGGTTTTTCAAGACAGGGTTTCTCTGTGGCTTTGGAGCCTGTCCTGGAACTAGCTCTGTAGACCAGGCTGGTCTCAAACTCATAGAGATCCGCCTGCCTCTGCCTCCCGAGTGCTGGGATTAAAGGCGTGCGCCACCATCGCCCAGCCTAATAGTGGTACTTTTGTATATAAAAGATAGTTATTTCTAAAACATTGTTAATTTTATGTTCAACTCCAAAGTAATATATAGACTAATATTTGTGAGTGTACTATATGCACCTTCCTCTGAGGGTTAATTTAGGAACTTTAATCTGCATTGTTCAGTCATCACTGTTAGACAGAAGGTTGGGTTTCTCTGTTCCATGTATCTGGAAATCATGGCCATTGAGAAGTGGTGCTCATGGGCGGATTGTGAGTGTGCAGTTTGAGTGAACATATGTATAGCTGAAGCTCTACGTACAGCACAACACAATAGACTTCATTTAATTTCTTATATTTGAACAAATTTATTGATGAAATCCTTCCTATACTGTGAAAAGTTTACACTCATTTAATGTTTTAGAATCTT